TTGGACAGGGTTGGTAGACAACATTATAAATACCCCAGAAGGCTCTCTTGTGCCCCTTCTCTTCAGTATTCCGTCCTCTGAAGATTATATTTTCACCTCTACCACCATAGTTTAGTTTTGCCTGTTCTTGACCTTCATATAAAAAGCATCATACACTGTATACTTTTTTGTGTCTGAGGAAAGCAAAAGTTGCTTATCCCTGGAATGCTGATCCTAGGGATCATTCTCTTGTGTATGTATTCCTTCCCACGTAAAGATACCTAGTCCAGTCCCCTTGCGAGTCTAGTCCAGTGGTTCTCAACTAGGTTAGCTTTGTCCCCCAGGGGGCATTTGGCAGTGTCTGGAACCATTTGGTTGTCACAGTTGGAGGGGTGCTACTGGCATCTGGTGGGTAGAGGCCAGGGATTCTGCTAAACATCCTGTAATGCAGAGGATGGCTCCCTACAACAAAGAATTATCTGGTCCAAAATGTGAACAGTGCTGAGGTTGAGAAACCCTAATCTTGTGCCATGGAAAACTCCACCAAGAGCACTCAGTGCCAAGCACATAGTTGGTACCATAAGAGTATGGGTTGTTATCATTATTACTCAAGGAGTGTATCATGAGATTCATGTAGCCTTCAAGTGCTTTTTAAGACAAACTGAAGAGCCTAACGTTGAAATTTATGAAAACAGTTATTGTGCTAATAAAAAAGGGAGATTTAGGAGCAAATTTTTGTGTTATTTAAAACAAAAAGGAAACTTAACCCAAATAGCAGATGGGTGAACGATTTGAATCAACATTTGTCCAAAGAAGATGCAGGTGTACCTCATTTTATTGCGCTTCACAGATAATGCATTTTTTACAAGATCCTCCACCAGCAAAAAGATTACGACTCACTGAAGGCTCAGGTGATGGTTGGCAGTTTTTAGCAGTAACGTATTTTTTAATTAAGGCGTGTACATTGTTTTTTTAGACATAATACTATTGCACACTTAATAGACTGCAGTATAGTGTAAACAGAACGTTTAGATGCACTGGAAAATCAGAAAATTCGTGTGACTCGCTTTATTGTGATATTCACTTTATTGCAGTGGTCTAGAACCGAACCTGTGATATATCTGAGGTATGCCTATAGAGGATGGCCAATAAGCATGTGAAAAGATGTTCAACTTGATCACTCATTAGGGAAGTGCAAATCAAAACCACAGTGAGATACTGCTTCAAACCCACTAGAAGAGCTATAATCAAAAAGATGAACAATGACAAGTTTGGGCAAGGACGTAGAGAAACTGAAGCTCTCAGACGTTTCTGATGGGAATGTAAAATGGTGCAGCCCCTTGGGAAAACAGACAGATTCTTAAAAAGTTTAGTGTAAACTTAAGATACAACCCAGCACTCCCACCTTTAGGAATCTACCCCAGAGAAATGAAAGCATATGTTCTCCCAAGGACTTGTACAGGAATGTTTATTAGCAGCATTATTCATAATGTCAAAAAAGTGGAAACAAGCCAAATGTCCCTCAACTAGTACATTCATATGGTGGAATACCACTCAGCAAGAAAAAAGTAATATCGTTATGCTGAGTAAAAGAAGCTAGACAAAGTACTGTATATTATTTCAGTTTATAAATGGCCAGAAAAGGCAAATCCGTGGCAACAGATAGCAGATCAGTGGTTGGGAGGAGAGAGGAGGGAAGGAGGAGGTAGGGGGAAGATGGGAAAGAGGATTGATAGTAGGCAAGCTTAAGGGAAATTCTTGAGATAGTGGAAAATTTCTAAAACTGGATTGTGGTGATGGTTGCACAGCTCCATAAATTTACTAAAAAATCATTGACTTGGAGGGGCCAGCTTGGTGGTGTAGTGCTTAAGTTCACGCACTCTGCTTTGGCGGCCCAGGGTTCACAAGTTCGGATCCTGGGCATGGACCTACGCACCACTTATCAAGCCATGCTGTGGCAGGCATCCTACGTATAAAGTAGAGGAAGATGGGCATGGATGTTAGCCCAGGGCCAATCTTCCTCAGCAAAAAAAAAAAAAAAAAAAATCATTGACTTAGAGCCAGCCCTGATGGCCTGGTGGTTAAAGTTCCCTGCACTCCACGTCAGTGGCCCAGGTTTGATTCCTGGGCGCAGAACCACACCACTCATCTGTCAGTAGCCATGCTGTGGCGATGGCTCACATAGAACTGGAAGGATCTACAACTGGAATATGTGACTGTGTACTGGTGCTTTGGGGAGGAAAAAAAAGGAAGATTGGCAGCAGATGTTAGCTCAGCGTGAGTCTTTCCCAGCAAAGAAACAAAACAAAACAAAACCTCATTGACTTATACGCTTAAAAATCTTATTTGTTGGGCCAGCCCCATGGCTTAGCGGTTAAGTGCACGTGCTCTGCTGCTGGCGGCCCAGGTTCGGATTCCGGGCGCGCACGGCCGCGCCCCACATACAGCAACTAGAAGGATGTGCAACTATGACATACAACTATCTACTGGGGCTTTGGGGGAAAAAATAAATAAATGAATAAATTGTTTAAAAAAAATCTTACTTGCGTATCAACTGTCTTATAGAAAGCAATTGCCTCCCTTGGAGTAATAATATAATCATAATTCTTAAAGTCCAACTGGTTCAGGGATTGTTTTTAAGGAAAATACTAACATTAAAATGCATATTAATCTAGAAAACCCACATGGGACACTTACCTGTAAAAGAATCCATGTTGACAGATATATTTGGCTGTCATTCTTCGTGTCCACGTGAACTCTTGCATGTCATTTGAACCACTTGGAGAGGTGATTTCAGTGAGGTTCCCAGATCTAGTTTTAAACACATCATATTAGACCAACAAAGTAATGTATGATTTCTGAATGCAGGTGGTTGATAAGTTACTGCTAGCTACAGGTAGGGGAGGAGTGCCTAAAGAAGTGTATCGCTCCCCCTTTTTAAGAAACCTTCATCATAGCCTTTGATGTCCCTTCCTAGCAGCTGCCGGCGTGTGCACAGACAGCAAGGGGTGCCTTCTGAAGCGTGTTTTTTCTGTTTTGTTACAGACAGTAAGCTGCCCCTTGGGAGCCTGTATTCAAGTCAAGCTGTCACAAAAAATAAGAATATGCTTGCACTGGGGGGTGGTAGAGGGTTTGCTTACTTTTCTCTGTGCTTTCTTATCTAATAGGCTCTGGATTACTGCCACAGCAAGGGAATCATGCACAGGGATGTGAAACCTCACAATGTCATGATAGATCACCAACAGAAAAAGGTACCATTACAGCCAGGCAGCAGCAAGCCTTTCACTGGAGGGCTTAGGGCTGACTAAAATGTGGCCAGTACCTAGGTGGTTTCTGGAGACCCATGCTGTTTTCTTTGGCAGACTTATGGTACTGTTACTTCTTCAGTCTCCAGGGTTGGTTTCTACTTTACATAAGCATAGTACTCAAGGAAAGTAGACAGCTGACCGGTTGCCACTTGTTTATTTTGGTCATGGTTCTCTGGGGGCCTCAAGAAAGAAACTGCAGCTGATAGTTTCTACTTCTTTTTTTAATGACACTCAGACCAATCTGCCTGGCCTTAAAAGTACACTTGGGTCCCTCCTATTTTCAGTATCCAATTCTGGTTGTTCCTGACTGGTGAGTAAATGAATCACTAGTGTTAGATTAATGAAAACCTGGAGCAGTGCTTCTGTCCAGGCAGGGGGCATGTGTCCCCAAGCCTTTCAGTTATGACTAGAGCGTATAAGGAAAGCTGTTAATGATGGGGGGAATGTGTCACACATCTAAGTGGTATGGAGGCAGAAAGAACCTTAGCTCTGTTGATCTAGAGAGGATGGTAAGTCAGGATAATTTAAATTTATAAGAAGAAAAAGCAAATGAGATTATGAATGCTCTGCTCTAGAAATGTCCTCTTATGCAGTTGCTGAAAGTGTAATTTTTTAGCCAGTGCACGCATTTTTTATGTGGCCAAATAATCACCTAATGTGATGTGGCTGTGTTCTGAGGCACAGGCATCTAGAAATAGTGGTTTCACATCCTGCGTTTCCGTATTTGTAGCTGCGGCTGATAGACTGGGGTCTGGCGGAGTTCTATCACCCCGCCCAGGAGTACAATGTCCGCGTAGCCTCGAGGTACTTCAAGGGACCGGAGCTCCTTGTGGACTATCAGGTAAAGGCGTCAGCAAAGCGCCTCTGGGTTCTTTTTGTATTTCCTTAGGGCTTTTCCTAGTTTGCTGTTTGTTTAGTCATGTCAGATACGTTCAAAAACCCAGTCTTGATTCCACTCCAAAATGATAAATTTCTGATTTTTCTCAACTAGTTTTTTTTTTGGCTTTGAATTCTAAACTATCTGCAAAGGTCAGCTGAAGACTAGAAACTCAGAACAGAAAGGTGCATTTCTAACACCCTTGACTGGTTGTCCTTATGTCCTCAGATGTATGATTATAGCTTGGACATGTGGAGTTTGGGCTGTATGTTAGCGAGCATGATCTTTCGAAAGGAGCCCTTCTTCCATGGACAGGACAACTATGACCAGGTGAGCAAACCCCATCTGACTCATATCCATTTGGGGGCAGATGCGAAGAAGACAGCATCCCTTGATACGGATGCTGGCTCTGAGCCACTAAATAGCACTCAGTGTCTGCATATGAGCTTTTCTTCACGGTAAAGAATTTCACAGAATTTTGTCTGTGGTTACCAGGTCTCCAAAGAGGTAGAGACCCGTAATGCTTTCTTATGCTCAGCTTCCAGAGTGCGTCTGGGAAGACGTCAGGCGCCTCCTTGCCTCTTAAAACTGGCTTCTAGTCGTTAGATTGTGGTGCCTGCACAGTTGTCAGCTTCTGGAGGATTATTGTCATAAGCGTGTTACTGTTCTAAAGGCAGTTTGGAAACATGCATCCATGTGAACTTCGTGTCGTTGGGCATGCTGCCTGTCGGCCCAGGCTTGGATCTGTATGTGGAAGTTCTCTAATTCCTTGTGCAGCGTCGTCACGGGCTCACAGCGAGTTCTGTGCTCAGTGATTTGGTCAGTTTGTTTTGCGTTTCAGCTTGTTCGCATTGCCAAGGTTCTGGGTACAGATGAGCTGTATGGGTACCTGAAGAAGTATCACATAGACCTGGATCCACACTTCAACGATATCCTGGGACAGTAAGTAAGAGAAGGAAAGAAAGAGGGTTTAACTTTCCCACTTCAGGAGTGGGAAGGTTAGCCGAAAGTGCTTTCTAAAGTTTCTTTCCCCTTTCTGGCCATGTCAAAATGGAAAGATCTTTTTTTTCCGTGTGTGTTTTTTTAACTTATTTTGAGATATTTGGGCATTGTTTGTTTGTGTCATCTAATCATTTTTCCTTCTCTGAGAGGTAACCTGTTTATTAATAGAAAATGGAAGAAAAATCAGAGTGTTACAGAAAAAAGCTTTCTGGTACAGCATATGCTTATTTTAATGGAAAAATCATAGAAAGCTGTGATTCTGCTTTTAATAAGAGATTTGTAGTTTCTTCATGTTCTATGTAATGGATTTTCTGTAAGGTAGCAAATTCTAAAGTATATTTTCAGGTACAGTGCAATAGTGTTGAAATGTAAATGTTGTGTTGACAATTTTCAAACCGTATTTTATGAAACCTCATGTTTCTGAGGATAGCTCTCTAAATATATCTGCTGAACAATAAAAATTACTCAGTCACCTCTGTGCCTCACCCAGAATTGACTAAAAGCCTGGGGTGTAAAAAATAATCTAGAAGGGGTCCGGCCCAGTGGCGTAGCAGTTAGCAGTTAAGTGCGCGTGCTCTGCTTCAGCAGCCTGGGGTTCGTGGGTTCGGATCCCGGGCGTGCACTGACACGCCGCTTGTCAGGCCATGCTGTGGCGGTGTCCCATATAAAGTGGAGGAAGATGGGCACGGAGGTTAGCCTGGGGCCAGTCTTCCTCAGCAAAAAGAGGAGGATTGACATTGGATGTTAGCTCAGGGCTAATCTTCCTCACAAAAAAATAAAGTAATAATCTAGAAGAGTTCTGCAAATTCTAAATCAGATGTAGAACTTTTAATTAATTTCATTTATCAGTCACAGGACACTGTTTGGTTTGAGGATGCTGTGGTCGTAACTATGGGGGTGGAGCAGGTACCAATAAGAATGAGATTTAACGAGCTTATAGTCAGTGCTGTATTCTGAAATTTTGTTGGCTTTAGCCCTAATACGTAAGGAAGGATTCTTGTTGAATTTAATCCCAGAATACTAATGCTTCCCTTTTCTTCTCAGACATTCACGGAAACGCTGGGAGAACTTTATCCATAGTGAGAACAGACACCTCGTCAGCCCCGAGGCCCTAGACCTTCTGGACAAACTTCTGCGATACGACCATCAACAGAGACTGACTGCCAAAGAGGCCATGGAGCACCCGTACTTTTGTGAGTCTCCAGGCGGGCAATTTATTAAACCAAAATTCTTCTACCCTCTATGTTTGAGGCCAGTCAAGAGAATTCTGGGTATTTGGATTGAATTGTCCTTGGAATTTGGCCTCATTAGTTCTAGACTTCTGAGACAGGTTTGCAGATCTGTTTCTTGATCCTCACGGGTGTTTGCTTATTCTCCGCTGTAGCTCCCTTGAGTCTGGTCTGTTGGACCATTCCCCGTGGCCCTGAGTTGATAGATCACAAGTGTCTAAAATTTGTTTTCAAATATATATGTTTGTGTGTAAATCTGATCAAAGATCTTTTCTCCCTCAAAAAACAAGTAATTAGCTGGAAGTAATAAGGTAACCATAGTGTATTTTTAAAAAAGAAAATAAGTTAAATAGAAGGAATTTGAGGAAAGGAAAGCAGGTATGGAAAGACCTCACTAAACTCCTATCTGAATTACTGACTTCTTAGGTCTCACTTGGAGCTGTGTGTGTATATTCAGTTGATGTGGCTACTTATTGTTCTGCATGCATGCAGTTCTCCCCACTGATCAAGTATGTCTCAGACTTTCTGCTTATTCTCTGCAGTGTGAGGTGATTTAGTCCAGTCCCAGAGGAGACTGAGAATCAGGGAGGTTAAGTGACCTGTCTCAATTCACCCTCTGAATCGAGATGAACACTTTCAACCTGTGCTATCATTCATTCTCCTTTTTTCCCCTCTGGAGAGTAACTAAATCTTCCCGGAAGAATGCATTGCTGTGTGGTCTGGCACTTGCTGGCCCATGAGCATTAGCAGACAGCAGAGTTAAAATGTCTCAGCCTTCCAGCCTCAGACTAGCGCAACTCGGGTGTCCTCTTTCCAATTTCTCGCACAGAAAGCTATTTTCACCCTTTGAGTTAGATTGAATTAAGAACGTTTATAATGTGTAACTCATGATCTGTCTGCTTTTCTGAATACACATCATACTTCTATAAAAATTTTTTTTAAACTACCCTTGCTTAAAATTGATAGGTCTTCTAATGGCTCTTTTTATTCACCCTTTCCTCTGAAGGGCTTATTGCACAAACTTTGAAGAAATTGGGGGTTGGATATGATGTTAGTATTCAAGGAAAATAACACATAAGAAAATGAGGAGAGATTTTGAACAGTGGGAAATGAGTGTTTCTCTGCCTCTCTTTTCCATGAGTCTCAGTAGTTGAACGTGTTTTCTGAGGAAATATAAGAGTTGACTGTAAGAGCAATTCTCCTGGTCGTTTTTCGGTGTCTGGTTTTTCTATAACCTTAATTCTGTAATTTCTGTTGCCCGCCTGGTGGCCCTGACTTTCCCAGCAGTCTGACTGCTCTCTTTATCTCACTGTGGAAGGGTTGGGTTTGTCATGGTGCTCTCTCCCACGCTGACCAGCTGATTCCGCTGACTTTCGTCCTGTTTTCTTGCAGACCCCGTGGTGAAGGAGCAGTCCCAGCCTTGTACAGACAATGCTGTACTTTCCAGCGGCCTCACCGCAGCCCGATGAAGACGGGAAAGCCACGGGTAATGCGGCGTTGATGCTTGCCAGTAAAACCAACCAACCAAACACAAATCGTGAAGGAGAACTACAGTGTGATAAAAAGAAATTCTAGTCATTCCTTCTAAACAAAGAAGAGTAAAGACCTAAAAGTCTGTCAAAAAGAAAGAAACTCCCCAGTACTAGTCTGCAGGGAGCTGCCATTCTGGCAGCGTGGCGGTGCACGTAGTTCGGGATCTGAGGGAACTCTCCCTTTGGAATGCCTGGGAGATGAGAGACTCGGAGTTGTACATTTCCCTTTATTTAACAGGAGACCACTGTTGAATTAACTCGTTCGGTCAGCCAGCTCTGAATATCTGACTTCCCATCTATTCCACTGTGGTCTGGGTTCCCTTTGGTGAGATTCAGGCTCAAGTTTTAGCAAAACGTCAGCAGTCTGTACTGACACACCAGCCTCACTTACGAAAAGGAGATATTAAAATAGTGACAGTATTTTTTTTTTTAAGCTCTTATACAAATTCATGTTTTATGTATTTTTTTATGACATGAGCTCTCTAGGAAATGTACCTCATCCCTGTGGTTTTCTTCTCAGTGTCTTCATTTGGGAGCAAACTGCAGTCACTCGCACGGAGTCCCTTTTGATGTCAGGAGGCGTCACTTTAAACTTGGTGATGCCGTGAACAGGTCCATCTGTCTCATCAACAGTCCCATGCATAACTCGGAGCTCACTCTAACCTTTGTTGATTTGCCTAACCGTAAAATCTTGTTGCTGTTTTTTTCGTGTAGCTTTTCTTTTTGCAGCCTTGTAAGGAAAACCCTACCTTTCCCAGCACATCCCTGTGTGTGCACCTATTTTAATGCACCTCTCTGAAACAAAAAGTTTTTGTTCACAACCATAACTAAAGCTGGAAAGTCAGTTCAGGCAGGTCGGGGAGGGAGAAAAACATCCTATCAGAATTTATTCAGGAAAGACTTATTGGGTGAAAAAAATGTTCTCCCCCCCCTTTTGCCTCTCTTTATCCCCATTAGAAACAATTCTTGCTGTTATCAGAGTAATCTGCATTTTTAAGCTCTGATAGGTAATACGTAAGTGTGTTAGCAAAGATAAGTCTCACGTGCGGGGACTGGAGTTGTGTGAGCAGGGCCACCCCATAACCCAGGCAACTGAGGAGAGCAGTTTGCACGGGGCTTGGGGAAGGAAGTGGAGCTCCCGGGCAAGTATCAAAGCTTGGGATCCATTGTGCTAGCCTTCACGTTAACAGAGGAAGCTAGATTGTGTTTAAAAAAATTAAAAATAGGGCTGATTTCATTTTGGGGACTTGTCACCAACATGGTTTGCAAGCAGTCCCCCCACCCCAGCTGCACAGCTGTGGGGGCTTCACACACCTAGGCTAGAGCTAGAGGTGTCTACCACCAAGTCACACTTTAGGATTTCTTCATTAACTATTTAATAATGCCATACATTTTTATAAGGTTAGATTGTTTGGAAACGTGTTTACATTCCATATTCCAATAAAATCGTATTGGTATTGGTAGCAGGTCCTATCTCTAAATGTAGATTCTATTTTTGTCATTTGGTTGGTGGGAACTTAAAATGCAAATAAAACTCTTATTATAGAGTTGAACTATCAAGTTGAGCAGATTAAAAATTAAGATCCCAAGGCCAGGAAATGCATTCAGTTAACTTCTCATACCAATAACTACCTGCCTGTCTTGCATATTCTGTATATTAACGTATACATTTGTTCTACTTGAAAATCAAAGGCAAGACATGAACTCTTGGCAGAACCTGTATTGATGTGTCAGGCAGCAAAACTCAGTGTTTTGGATTATCAAAAGCCTTCGAATGTGCCCTTCTATCAGAATCCCATCGAACTGTTGGATGTTAGGGAGAGGTGCCACTGTGTGTCTTTCCTGCCCCCTACCTCTCATCGTCTCCTTTGTCTCCCACGTGTTTTTATTTTTAAGTTGGCCGTCTGGGCCAGGCAGGGGGAGCCTGTTGGAGGGTCTTGGTGAAGTAGTAACCCTGTTTCTTTCCCTTGGGTCCCCCAGAGGCAGTAAAAGCAGCCGGAGCAGAAGAGTCAGGTGCCTTACTTCTGCCTCTCTCCCCTTTGGTCACAATGTGGTTGGTGCAGACACAGCTCACCTGTCGGTCCGTGGGTTCTGTAACTGCCGCTTTGACACAGGAGTAGTTCTTCATTTTTATGCATACAGTTTACTTTTCTACCATATATAGTTTTTACCTCTGCTCACGCGTTAGACATACACCATAACTGAGTTTAAGATGCTTACTCCTTTCTGAGTCTGGTCTTGACACCGAGCCTCCGGGCCTGTAGGGTTGATTGAGGTGGTTCTTTCCCACACTGAAGCGAGTCTAGTCCAGACCTTTTCTCGTTTACCTATCTCCAGAGCCATTTTGTGTCCAGATGGGCCTAGCTCCCCTGAGATTTTATAGAGTATATACCTGGGTTAGGAGATGGTCTTGGAGAGTTCCAGAAGAGGGCTGAGAGTGTGTGAGAGAGAGAGAGAATGTATGTATCTGAGAGTGGGAGTCTGGTCTTATATTTAGACGAAGCTGTGCTAGATTTACCCACCCAGTATCCTTTTCAGTTAGCATGCTCTTTCTTTAATTCATCTCAGTAATTTCCATTAGACGTTTTGTTTGCTTCAGTACTTTATAACTGGTTAAAAGTGCCTATGATAAGGACTTGTTATTTCCTAAAGAAAAGCAAAAAAACGTGGGGAACAGGGTAGTGTTAACACTATCATCTCAGGTACTGCCTGTGTTCGAGAATCTAGACCTGATGTGAGAACAAAAGGTTCCTGTGCCAAACAGAGCAGCGTGTCATAGTTCATTGGCCACAAGTGAGCATAGCTAGCCAGGTTTTACTTCAGCCGAGGAGTCTCTGGTGAGAGCAGAACCAAGAGAGGGCTGCGAGTTTCGTCGGTGGTTTGCTTGCAGTTTGCTCTGCTCGGCATCGTATCAGCTGGCCTGCTCCTGTCCTGTCCTGTCCTAGCCCCGTGGAGGTGACTGGCTGGGAGAAGCCATCAGTGTATAATGCAGACCAAGCATTCCTGGGTCTTCTCACCAATTAGAGGAGTGTCAGTGCCCGTTCCGTGCAGCACTTAAACATCAGTCTCTCCGCTGGGTCTCCTAACAGACGTTGTCTAGCACGTCGGTACTCACGGGGCTCAAAGCAAGTGTATTTCTTTGCTGAGGAGGAAGGTGCTCGCAGACTAATTGATTGGAGGAGATGGAAGAGTGGCAATCCTTGGGGGCTGAGAGAGGGGCTGTTGCAAGAAGAAAGGGAGCCAGTAAGGAAAACAGACGAAAGGGGGAGCTTGAGGAGGGAATATGACCTCGAGGGGAGAGGCTAGGGGACGTGAAAACTTGGAATGGCACTTCCCCCTGGATTGGTTCCAGCCGGACTGAAAGGTGGTGCTCTCCCGGTGGCTGCTAAGGCCCCGAGAGTTGGCGGCCGTGGGTCTCAGGCTGCGCCTACTCAGGGAAATGACTTAGGTTCTCCCAGGTGCTGCACTGCTGAGGATGGAAGCAAAATTATTTTGGGACACAAGCAACAGTTGGAAGAATTTTTCTATTGAAATGGATCTAAGAGAGCCGAGTTAACAGTTTCCTTTAATGCCAGTTCAGATTAAATGATTCATTTAGTAACCTGTGTTACTGCATGAGTACCCACAGGGAAAGGCAAACTTCCTTCCTGCAAATAAATAGGAGTAGATATAGCTAATCAGAGTCAAGGTCATTGAAATAGAAACCCTTCCAAAAGCAAAAGCAGGGTCCACATGAGCACACGAAAAGTCAAACTTTGTCAGTGAGCTTAATAAATCTTAAGACTGAATAATGTCCTGCCTTTGAAAACTAACCCCAGGGTGGGAACACAGGGGAGGGGAGGTGGCAGAGAAACGTCTGGCTAAGAAAACCAGTAATAACATACCTTTTTGAGCTATGAGGATGTGTTAATGAAAACGACCCCAACGAGGTGTTCTAGAGGCTGGGGAAAGTGATGTGATGGGATATACAGGCGATGTATACTTTTGTGTAGAGTCTCACAATGTGCTAAAAATGTGATGCTTAATCCTGAACTGCATGTATTGGGGATTGTTAAAAAAAGAAAACTTTCATTGAATCAATAAATTAACAGTTTTTCACTTGCTGGCTTTTCTTGCTGTAAATGATGACTTAAGAGCTTGGGACAGAAATCTTGACACCCAGTGGAAAGCTTGGATAAATCTTCAAGAACCATGGAGCCAACTATTTCCTTCTGTTTGCAGAAAAGCAACACTGCCTGGGTGGTGATCCTTTACAAATGACTACTTCAGACAAGATTGGCCACCTCTTTGTATCACTGGATGACTGATGTGTGATAAATGTGCTGCTGCCCTTAGAGGAAAGAAAAATGCCATGTTAAATCCTGTTTTCATAAATAAAAATGTTGATGATCACCAGCCTTCCCAAGTGGGAGACAAGCCACTGCTATGAAGGCCTTAAACTTGTATTTCCTGTCTCTTGGGGGAGAGGAGGGCTGAACCTCGAACTGCAGAGCTGTGTGTGCGGTGGATGCAGTAATCACCTTGGTGTGAAGAGTCCTTTAGCAGGAGAGGTGGGACTAGAGTGGTGATTTGGTGGGGACTGTTCTGTTTCTTGGTGCTTGGTTCTGAATTGCACCACTCAGACACCTGCTGCTTGGGGTTGACCTGTGGCACAACTTGAACCTTTGTGGCAGGGTGTTCTGCGTTTATGAAAATCTCTGCACCCCCACTTTTTGCAAAAAAGGCAGGCACACACTCTTGTTTGGCAAATGGTGGTGTCTTTAATTAGTGTGCTTGCTTCTCACTGATCCCTCTGTGGAGTTGGACGTTTGGAAATCAGTTGCTGAAGTGCTTAAAAGCAAATAGAGTTCGTTCGTTCTTAATGTTAAGTGCCACGTGGCCTTTCTCAAATACTAAGCATAGAACCCCTCTTTTACCCAAAGAAAGTTTTCACAAAATGATATTTGTGTGTGACAGCTTCCTAAGTGCATAGTCCTTTCTCTCAGTGCTGTACTGTTCTGAGACAATCCTTACAGAATCCTGCTGGCATCTCACTACCCACTCACTGTGCTGGACATGGAAGGAGAAACGAGGTTTTCAGGCCATGCCAGACAGCTGCTTCCAGGGGAGAGTTAAAAATATTTGAGCTCCCTTTTGCTCCTTATTAGTGGACTCGGCCCTTTCCCTGTGTAAATACGGTCATCTGATTCTTTGTCCCAAGACGTCCTCAGTAAATTGGGTCAGGTCTGACGGGGATCTAGAGTTGGACTGCTGAACTTGTAGCTTGGCTTGCACAGAACCGTCAAGAGGCTTCAGTGCTTCTGAATCAGCATCCTGTACCTAAGAGAAGGGGAGGAGACCCAGTCACACACGTTGTGTCCAGAACTTTCCCCTTGCTCTCACTTAAGGCTGTCCCCAGGACCACCTCTGTTAATGGTGATCAGAAGAGGAAAGAAGCGGTACTCTTTGAAACCTGCAATCATAAAGTCGGTCCTTTACTAGGTTTTCCACAAAGTGGCATGGGCAAGGCAAGCTTGCGTGCTGTTCCCAGCACTCTGCAAGAGAAGGCGGCCGCGTGCACGTGGAGGCCTGTCCTTCCTCCGGGTCAGAATAATTAATGCCGTCTTTCCCCTCCTCCCGTCTCTCCCCAGGTCTGTTGCGGTTCCTCCCACTTTTCCATAAGCAGAACAAGAACCAAATCAAACGTCTTAACGTGTGTAGAGAGATCACGTTCCGTGAGCAGACACAAAATGGTGGCAGGTTTGGCGAGCACGAACTAGACCAACCGAAGGGCAGCCCACCACCGTATACCAAACCTCACTTCCGAATGTAAAAGGCTCACACGCCTTTGGCTTCCTGTTGACTTCCTCCTCACCCAGAAAGCATGGGAAATGTGAAGGGTATGCAAAATGGTTGTTGGTTACTGTTGCTCCCCACGCCCCTTGACTCGTCCTGTGGCCACCTGTTTTTCCAGCAGACCACGTTAACTGGCCGGCCACAGACTCCACAGTGGGGGAATGGGGGCATATATGGCATGACGGGCAGTTACATATTATAATTTTAAAAGTATATATTATTGAATAAAAGGTTTTAAAAGAAATGTATGGAGAGTTTTCAGTATGGAAGGGGCCAATAACCGAGACCCGTGGCCACAGAGGCCTGAGAGAAATAGAAGAGCGTTTGTGCCAGGTGCCAGCGGAGGAAAGGGGGAGTCCCAGAGGCGAGGAGGGCCGGGCGTAAGGATGCGCTTTACAGAGATGAGGAGTTGAAGAGCGATGGTGAACTGATCCTGGGGATGGGGTGAGCCGCAGATGGTTCAAGTAGACTTGGAGAGCCAGGAAAGCCAGGCTTTGCCTTGAACACGTTCGTCTTACCTTGACCCCTCCTTCCACAGCAGGTGAGTCACCCAGCGATTTAGGTGGAGGGTAGACGTTATCTCTGGTGAACTCGGGAAGGTGCTGTAGCTCCTCCTTTGCTTTCCCTTTGCTCGTGTCTCCACACTTCATCCCACTTGCCAGTCCTGTGCCCCCTCCCCACGCCCCCTTCTGAAAAAGCCTCTTACC